GTAGTCTAAATGAGAACCTACACTGTCAGAGTCTGATTTAATGTAGTCTTAATGAGAACCTACGCTGTCAAGAGTCTGATTTAATGTAGTCTTAATGAGAACCTACACTGTCAGAGTCTGATTTAATGTAGTCTTAATGAGAACCTACGCTGTCAAGAGTCTGATTTAATGTAGTCTTAATGAGAACCTACTCTGTCAAAGTCTGATTTATTACTGCACTGATAATGTTGAAGACTAATATACTAATCCTGTAAAACTTTAGTTAAATCTGTTGGAAAAAAACCACACTAATCATTCTGAAGAAGTGACACTGGCAATGATATTACATATTGTGTCAAAGAAATCTATACTGAAAGATTTCCACACTTAGCCTTCTGAGAAAGAGTCATGCTGGTTAGAAGTTAAAGAAATCTGGGCTCAGCAGTAAGTCTGAAGGCTTATAACGGTAAAAACCAGATTTTGATACAGATGGTGGGCACAGCACAGATAGCCCATTGTGTGGCTTTGTACTTTACAACAAAACAAAGAAAGAAAGCTGATATTGAAAGATTTCCACATCTTGTCTTCAGAGGAACAGTCATGCTGGTTGGAAACTTAACTATTCTGTTAAAGAAATCTGATACTTTTTGTTCAAACACCATACAGAAAAATTTCTCTCGTTCTACTGAACAAGGTAAAACAGTATTTTTTAAATCTTTTTGTTGAAATAAGAGATGAAGGGTGTGAATATGTTTTATTTCTTGCTGGATAATGGTGATACTGAGAAATTATTGTATTTCGATACAGTCTTGCCTCCTCTCACACAAAGCTATCTAGTTGTTCATCTGCCCTCTAAATTCGTCCAATTTCTGTCCTTTGTTAACTGGGTATGTTTTGATAGATTGTACGTTACATATCGGTACTACTAGTAATATCTGTTTCATTGTTCTATCTGAATTTTTTTTCTTTTGTACGTGTTAACTATGTGCCTTATCATCCTAATTTTCGTCAGTGTGGGATTTAAAATATTTGCTTTGTTACATCGCTGATGTATTCGTTTTTTTCCTGTTCAAAGGACTGAACTTAGCTTTGGCTCCTTTTCCTACGTTTGTGATCCTATGAACCTCTTTTTTTCTTCTCATAATCTACAATTCAGAGTTCTTCCCCAAAGTGCCCACTATATTGATAGTTATTTGTTGTTCTAAGTCAAGTTTTCCAGTTCAGGGCCTTACCTTTCGGACTAACCTCGGCTCGTTACGTGTTTTGTCGGGGAGTACAAACTCTTGCCTTACATATTCACTCTATGAGTCTTTGCACCCTTCCTTCTATCGATGACTGGCTTCTGCTTGCTTTATCTTGTTCACAGTCCAAACACCACATTCCCACAGGATTGGTGGGATTCCTGTTGACTCATTGTTTTTGTCAAGTCCATTGTCTCAGCCCAGGGACTGATTCCATGTGTTGCATCTTTCCTTTTTCAATCCATTAGACCTTCTTCTATGTCCACTTCCACGGATAATATTGATATCTTTGCCATGGTTTCTGTTCTTCCCACCCTTCCATTCCTCATCTTTGCCTACTCTTCACCCAGTTGTTTGACAAAGAATTGTCCACTTCGTTCGTGTCTTGCTATCGGACAGTCTCTTTTTGTTGACATCCTTTGATTTCTCCAGGCTTCATCTGGTTTTGTCTTCCCCTGTCCTTTCCCTCCTTTTCTGTTCCTTTGATTTGCAAATTGGGATCTCAGCATTGTCCTTTATGCCCTTTCTCGTCCTCCATTTCAACCTTTGTCTTCATGTTCCATCTACCTTCTCTCTCTCAAGCTCTATTTCCTTTTCCTCCTTGTTTGCAGTCATCATCATTTAGATATTTTATGCCTTTAATGTTATTTGCATCCTTTACCATTCCTCCTATGTTATCCTCTATCCTGACTGGTCCTTTCTCCCTAAGACCCATGCTGCCAGTTTAGGTGATTTGGCTTTCCCACCCAATCCTTACTTTCCATTTCCCTCCTATGTTCCCATTCCAATGCTAATTGACTTCTTTGTCTGGTTCACAACTTACGGTGATATGTGACACATACTGCCTCCTTTTGGAGTTCACGTTCCTAACCTATTATTCTCTGGAACCCTTCCATTTTCCGTGATCTCTCTCCTGTCATGCTTACTGGTTGGGTTCGTGAACTCATTAGGTTGACGTAGTTGGACTTATCCAAAGAAGGTCGCCATCTTCACATGTAGTTGGACTTATCCATAGAAGGTCGCCATCTTCACATGTAGTTGGACTTATCCAAAGAAGGTCGCCATCTTCACATGTAGTTGGACTTATCCATAGAAGGTCGCCATCTTCACATGTAGTTGGACTTATCCAAAGAAGGTCGCCATCTTCACAACATTTCTTCTCATCAGATTCATCACATCACTGTGTCTTTGGCTGCAAATCTTTGGCTTCCTTTGGAAGAAATCATTCAGGCTGGAAAGTGGAGTACCCCAATACCTTTGTTGTTCATTATCTGGCTCTATCTTCCTCTAGTGGGTGTCGACTTCCTCCCATAGAGATTCTACACATTTCAATTTACCTTTGACTGGGGTAGGTCTTATCACTTCATTTATGTTTTTATTTCAAAAACCCTAATTTTAACTGCTGATAATGGAATGTGATGGGTGTTGCCTGGTCAGGTATGCTTTGCCGCACTAGTTTAGAGTTACTATATAATGCTCACTGTAGAGATGGGGTGTTTCTGTAATACCACTAGTCACTTACCCAGTGATGTATATATATATATGTACTAGATATCAATCAATTTCTATTTATGCTGGACCATCACTCGTGAACTTCATGAAAATAAGCAGAAGGGGATTTCTGCCCATCCCAGCCGACCTTTTGATGGAATAAATCGGGTAGATCTGCTTTTCAAAATAGGGAATCACAGACACCCATTGCATTTTCTCTGGTGTGATGTGTCTCCAGACTCCCCACTGCATCCCCCCCTTTTTTCTTCTAGTGGAGCACAGGAATCCTTACTGTTTCCCAGTTGCTGGGGTGGTGGACTATGGAGACTTCCTCCTGAGTAAGTTTAGAAATTTATTTTACAATACATATTCATGATTATCCATTCAGTGATTAGAAGGCAAAGCTGGTTTCCCTCTTTCCATTTCCCCTGGATGCTTTTTCCCAGGTGGACAACAATAGATAGAATAATAAATTAATCAGTTGGAGCAGGTCCATCCTATGCTGGATCCTCCTCATAATGCCAGGTTCAGGATGACAATGCCCTGTTCCTATGGTGGAGTGAACTAGATTGTTAACTTCAGATGCAGAAAGTTATCTCTCTGCTTGAACAGGGTGGAATTTGGGAGACTTCCACTGCTTTATAATACCAACAACAGAATGTACACACACTGTTCCTACAGTCTACCAACAACAGGATGTCCACACTCTGTTCCTACAGCCTACAAACAACAGGATGTCCACACTCTGTTCCTACAGTCTACCAGCAACAGGATGTTCACACTCTGTTCCTACAGTCTACAAACAACAGGATGTCCACACTCTGTTCCTACAGTCTACCAGCAACAGGATGTCCACACACTGTTCCTACAGTCTATCAGCAACAGGATGTCCACACTCTGTTCCTACAGTCTACCAGCAACAGGAAGTCCACACTCTGTTTCTACAGTCTACCAGCAACAGGATGTCCACACTCTGTTCCTACAGTCTACCAGCAACAGGATGTCCACACTCTGTTCCTACAGTCTACCAACAACAGGATGTCCACACTCTGAAACAA